TTTTTTTTTTTTTTTTCATTTATGAACCTACGTTCACAGAGATCAGCCTTGCCTCCAAGGGTAGCAATAAACGGGCAGTCTTGTTCTACCAAGAACAAAGAAATTGTCAGCGCCGATATTATCGTCATCATGACCATCATCCAGGGCGCCATGAAGTGACGATTGTTCTACCGGAAGAAATGCCTTGTTTTATCACGAAATCATTCTCATACAAGAGTATGGCTACTGTAAACTGTAATTACCGTCAGCGCACCGTACAGAAGCAGGATGGTGGAAATAAAATGTATCACTGTGATCACCAGTCCACAGTACATCGAATATACTGTTTCTAAACGTGTGAAAGATTTTTAAAAATTGATGAAAAAACGTGAAGGTAAAAACAGAAGAAGAAACGAAATACTTTTTAACCTCTTGAGGGATGTAACAAATTATTAAATATTTAATAATTCATATAAATGTATCAAATGAAGTAAATCATTTCTTTCTGATATTAATAAATTTATTCCTCAAGAGGTTAAATGAATAATTAAACGAAAGTAGTAGAATATAAAGTATTTGTAAGATTATATTATAAGCACCAGTTGCGTTATGGTGCGCCATATCCATTTTCCTAGTATTTAGATGATTAGATGATATATCTTCTAAGGCTTCTCTCTCAAGAGCATCTTCTGTATCCCTTACCACCATTTCTTGAATTCCCATGGCGTGTGCCAGTGCCAGCACGAAAAATATCATACTAAACCCGGATGTAAACTGTATTAAAAAGTGAATTAATTTAATATGTAATCATTTCTTATGTGTTTGCTACATATAGCGATAACAATTAAATGATAGATTATATTTACCAATTGGAACACTGCTATTAATACTGTACCCTGTTTCAGATTGAAATAATGCAAGAAATTCTTTAACAGTCCCACCTTCATTTTGTCGGTTTTTTTTTTTTTTCTTTAATCAAGATATTCTACAATTATTATTCCTGAAAAGAAGTAACACTGATCAAAATTTACATCCAACAATTGAAAAGGCTGTAACAAGGAATCTTTAGTAATTTAAGTAAATCAAAAAAAAAAAGTTGTTACACATTCATAATCAATTAATCTTTGTAATAATAATCTTTTGTACTTTTAGATGTGAAACCTATATTTTTTTCTCCTTTCAATAAGTATAATTATAATGAACGGTGCTACCTCCTTATTGTTTCGAATCTTTCAATTTTTTTATCAGCTCAATGAAGAAAAGAGAAACATTATTTGAAACCTATGTATCATACGTGTAATAAAATAATTCCTCCAATTATCAGGTAAAGCATCAAACACGAAACTATGATACGAAATATAAAATTTTACCGAAGCAATCAGTAAAATCTTCTAAATGAAAATGACACAGTCCTCGAAGATTGCAACCGAGGCAACTACTGCCATATAGTTCGTGGTAACGCCTGATGATAACAAAGATTAGGGAGAAGGAGAGAAGAAACGGAAAGAACGAAGTGTCAGACTTATGATCGAGAATGCAGTCGAGCTGCAGATTGAGGATGCATCGCTTTCGAATGGAAAGCGAGCGACGCGATGCGTCGTTACTGACCTCGCGAAAAGGGAGCACGGAATGTCACTGAAACGTAGCCCACAATAAGAATCAATAACTTTCACTGTCTCTCGCGTAGATGAAAACGAAAGATCCGATTGTCAAACGAAGTGGTATCACATGAAGGATAAAGAACTCGGGACCGAAGGATGGTGTCGCCCTAATTTCGTAGCCCCTCGCGAGGCTTGCAAGAAGGATTATTCACAGGGGATGGCCGTTTCTGTGCGTTCGACGCACAAAACGCGAGTTTACCTCGTCCAAGGGGTAGGAACGTAACCCCAAACGCTAGATTGAACGACATGCGCACCACAGACCGATCCACTGTCGCATCCTTCGAGGTACATATATCTGTTCCCAATTGATCATTGATTGTTACTTGCACAAAAATAATTCAGTTTCAGACTCCCATAAATCCGAGTTGTATCGAAAACTTTTTGTTTTCGAATGTTATTGGTCCGGTGTTGAAAGTGTTTCGAGTGGAGCATAATGTTAATTTACTGAGCATTCTACATGTACATATTGATATTCTACTTTATACAGAAAATAGATTAATTGACGTTAGATATTGGGGACATTTTGTCTGAAGATCGGATTTATATTTTATTACATATCATCAAATTCTTTACCTTTATTTACGTTAGAATTTATGACGATTTTCTATTTTCGAATTATGAAAATTTATACACTCTTAAGTTAACGTGTAAAATATAGTCAAATGAT